TGTGCTAATACTATAATTAGTAACATCTGCCAATTTTATATGAAAATAATACCGCTGTTCTCAATAAAAAAAACAACCTAGACATATCTATCAAAACTGTTTCCAAGATGGTTAAAAAAAGTGTCCAATTAAAAATGTCCAGGCTGATAAAAAATTCAACTTCTTTCAAAATTACATGACAAAAAAGTGTTAAATAATTACAGCAAATCACGCTAATTGTGACCAAACATCAACAATTCCTCTCAATCATAAAAATCTATGATAAATATGAGAAAACTGTTCAGATTTATTCTTTAACAGACTAAAAAATTATAACTAATTCAGTTTGTGCGAGATTTCTAAAATGAAAGAAAATTATAGCAGAAACATAGGTACAGTCTTTTAAGCTCGACTATTGGAAGAAAAAGGAGAGCTATTATGTACGCACCCAGGCAGAGGCATGACACTGGTTAAATTTTTGCATGCAAGTTCGTATCTCAAAAACTACTGAAAGGAATGGTTGAAACTTGACAAACTTGTTTTCAAGAATAATAGGAAATCAATGTCCAAGGACTATAACTCTGTAAGCTTTAAGACAAACTCTCTGAATATTTCTCGAACCCACTCGGCTAGCCATTCTTTGATTACTAGTCTGAAGTGTTAACCACACAGCCATGCTGCCACAACAGCCAGTTTGTGAAAGTGTCTGAGAGAAACTTATGCCTTATCAAATCAGAATAACCTAATAAATATTGAATTTGTAAACCTAATGTGAGTAATGTCCTCTGCAGTGTATAGAAAACATGACCTAAAAATAAATTGATAAATCTGAAATAAATTCCCCACTTAATGCACCTGGTTTTAATGCTTGAACTATTTCTATGAGGCTTACATGCTTAGAGGCATTTTTTCTCTTAGTTACACCAATGTGATGAAATTTAATGTCTAAAAATAGCAAAACCACTGCAGAATATTTAATTATTAACACATTTGGCAGTTCAAAAGTTGCATATGTAGCACAAAAAATCTTGAAACACTTTTCTTTAACCTGGGGAGATAATTACATTCAATGTTAGATCAAAACTGCATTATTAATAATGAGATCATAAATTTTCTTTCCAAGCTTTTACTAACAATATTGAGCCTACTTACATTGAAAGTCCTACATTTTTATTGCATTTTAATAAAGTTTAAGGGCAGACTTTCACACTGAAGTTCTCATGTACAATTAAAATAGTAAATAAATATTGGTAAAATTAAAGCTGTATGCCTCCAGATGAGCTAAAATTGAGCCGCGTCATGACAAAACCAACATAATGGGTTTGCGACCAGCATGGATCCAGACCAGCCTGCGCATCCGCGCAGTCGGATGCGCAGTCTGATCAGGATCCATGCTGTTCGCTATCAGTTTCTCTACTTGTAATAGGGTTTGTAAATGAACAGCATGGATCCTGATCAGACTGCGCGGATGTGCAGGCTGGTCTGGATCCATGCTGGTCGCAAACGCATTAAGTTGGTTTTGTTATGACGCGGCTCAAATTATTTCAAGGAAATCAAACTTGAGGAAAGTATACTAAGATTTTAAGAAATTAAGTAAAAGATTCAAAGTAATAATTTTTTATCTTATGTGCAATTAATGACTGATTTTTCAGTACTTATCACCATATTTCTACTATGTGCATGATTAACGCAGTAAGGGCTATTTTTGCGTATTTTGACCTCTTTTTGGTAATTTATGTGGATTATAAGTGCTGATTACAATGTGTAAATTACTTTCTTTGTTCCATCACAATATATTACTTTTTAAATACAATTTCAAAATTTTCATAAAAATTAGCATGAATCTGGAGGCACGCTGCTTTAAATTCTAAGACAATCTGATGCAATAATACAAAGCAGAACAATCAGAAATTTTTGATAATACTATCGGTATTTCCCATGAGCCATTCCAGTTAAAGCTTAAATAAACCCTTTAAAAAATAATATAAATTTGACACAGACTGTTACTATGATGCCATTTTCAAGACACACAAAAACAACAACAAAAAAAACACAATAAATTAAAACATGATACAATGTTATTAAACACAAATGAGAAAATTATATTATGAAAGAGGTAGGAACTTAACATAAAACATAAAATATTTACAAGATACAAGTCAAATCACAAACTATTACAAGAAAATTAAGAGATAAGTTATATACAATGTTACTCACTTAAATGTCAGACCCACTTATAAGACGAGGATCTTATTTTAACACTTCTTTCAATAAATGCACATTAAATTGTTGTTTTAACTCAAGTATAAGACAGCTTCCAGGCCTTTTTCTTCCAAATACATAGCTTTCTCTCGGAAACAGGGAAATTTCTTAAGAATTTACCCCCCCCCCCACAATCCAAAGTCCACAATCATTCATGGTTATAATTTCAAATTTGAAGGAGAATAAAAAGGCCTGGTATCCAACTGTCTAACATAACCTGACCAGTGGTATTTCAATGGTCAGTAACATACTTTCTCTCCTAATTCTACTACTCAGATACTGATATGGAAGACTAGTTCATACATTTTAATGCTTTTGTGTTACAAAAATGATCAATCATACAAAAATAAGACTAGCAAAATAGCACTTTTCCTCGAGCTTTGTAAATTTCAAAAATAAAATAGTTTAAACCCTTAATTTGTTGGCAGTGACAATGACAAGCTTTTGTCATAAGTAAAGATCAAGGCCAGCCTGAACATTGCTGCATTCTCACCATGCTCTATGCTTTAGTCTGACAATATATACTTTGTATAGCAGTCTGACCAGGCTCTATACAGTAGTCTGACCAGGCTCTATACAGTAGTCTGACCAGCTTTTATACTGCTGACTACCCAATTTTGGTACTTAAATTATGAAACTTGTATTTGTGTAATGGATTTACTCAGTTTTGAATTTGGAACAGTCCATTCACTGCTTAAGGATTTTAATATTAAAATACAAAATGAACTACCAACAGTATAAAGCCTGGTCAGAAAGACAGATGCGAAGAGTGACTGGGCATTATATTGGGGGCAAAGGCTAGTCACTCTCGATGCCAGTAAGGTAAGGGTTGAAAACTACACAATGGGCAGTTCTTAAAAGTTTGTACCAAGTCTGATAAAATAAAGCAGGATCAAGGTAACATTTCTCTTGTATATATACATGTATACATATAATATATTAATAAAGGCAGATATCTTCTGCTATCAATATGTATCAGTACTAATACTATAAATCTAAACATACCAATTCACAACATACTTCAAACAACAGCTATCAAATGCTGTGTTAAAGTTCGGCTGTTAAATTGCAAGGACTAAAAATAACCAACTTTGACAAAGTTTAGAAAGGAACATAACTCCAAAAACAAAGACTGCACCTTGTTATGACAATCAAGCATTCCAAGTTTTATGTTGATAATTTTGACAATGTTTGAATAATGGTCTATATTGAAGTTTTTGCACAACAAGGACAGAATAATAGCTGAACTTTTTACTTCCTAACAGCAAGCTAATATAAAAAAAACTTTATAAATTTTTCAGTAAAAAACCCCTCTAAAAACAAATAATTATTTTGAAATTTTGTATGAATATATTAATAATGTTACTTTATTATCATGATTCAGTTAGAATTAACATTACATGTATTATAATGGCAGTGTTAGCAGCAGAACATTGTTCTACAAAACATAGAAAAAATAAAAATAAACAAAACAGCACATTGCCACTTACAACTGATACATAAACTGAAATAAGCTTTGCAACTAATGAATAGATCTATGTCTTTACAATTCTTCCATAAATTTGAAAGATTTAGTAACTTCAACACTATAAATAAGATTATAATTATAAAATGTTACCTAATTTGGTTTCTTAATAATGATTTCATAACCTAATATCCTAATGCATAACATTCTCTTTGGTGCATAAGGGACTGTTTCAATCAAATAAATATGAGGGAATTTAGTCCACCCTTTTGTGAACAGGTTTGTGTCTGCCCAAATAAAGCAGCTCCAGTCATGAAATTGGATTACTTGGCGGGAAAAAAAGAGTTGCAGCTGTCACATAGTAAATACTGATAACTTATCAATACCATTTTTGGGAAAATTGGGACTTGTTAGCAATTGGGTCCGCTTCAGCTTCAATAGGTGGGAAAAAGCACTGAATACTCTTACAAAAACTTAATGAAACATATCTTATTCTCAAAATGAACTCTTCATCCATGTTTTGCTATCTGTTTGCGTTTTGTTGTTGTTGTTGTTTTTGCTTTTTTCCATTTTAAAAAATGGCTTGTTTATTTTCTGCATGGCAAGATGCGTAAACAATTCCTGCCAAACCAATCAACTGATGCACTAAAATAAAACTTGGCATTGTAAGAGATAAGTTTATAAACATTTTATTGCTTTACAACTCCATTCATATCCTAGTCTGATAGCATGAAGTAACAAAATTTCATGATAGTAAAAAAAGGTGCTAGAGAACAGTGGCACCTTTATTTTCAACTTGTGTGTGGTGTTCCTTGGGGAAGTGGTGTTTAAGTGCATTGAGTATAGATGGTAACCAAACAATAGCGCTAATGTTTCTATTTCAGTGCAAATATGTACTGGTAACGATCCACTTAAAATTATTTAGGTTAATGAAATATACAAATACTATTTTAGTCTAACTTCATGGCATTTCAACCCAATCACCATGGGTCAATATAGAAGGCCTCATTCATGAATCGGGCATTTAAAGGCACTTATGTAGAATAAGCCTACAAAAAAATATGTAATAAAATCTGTGGGAATGGCATTCAGTGCAGTTATGGACCTTTCCAGTGTTTACAGTTTTATGTAAATTGGCTAACTTGCTATCCAATTGCTACACTGATATAATACATAGTCACTGGTTGACCTGGTTTGCACAAAACATGATTAAGTTGTGAGCAGTTGACCTAGCAATGAATGGAAAAGGTGTGGCTAAATGTTCCGCAACAAAAAACCGGAAAGGTCCATTATGCTGTCATGTTCCTATAACAGACTTAATATTTGTTTTTGTTTCTATTTGTATCTCATGCTATTTAAAAACTTATACAAAAAACCTCATCAATTCACAATGAACAGGTTGTAATCTTGGTACTGTACGTAAATTGTAAGAACAAAATATTTATAGTTCTCGCAAAAAATGATTAGTTCATGCAAGTAAAATGCATGAATTTCACATTCATCAAAAATGTAATTATAAACCTTAATACTTGAACACAATAACGCCTAAAACAATTATTTCACAGACATTCAAAAAGAATTTTTCTCTTAAATTCATGAAAATCGACTTTTCTCTGTTTTTGTTTACATGATTACTATAGTATAAGAAATACAGTTTTAAACCTATTATTAAGTGCTATTGACAGACAATAATAATAACTTTAATCAACCAGTATAGAACCAGCAGGCCAACATGCACATCCATATAGTCGGAAAAGCTCTATACTTATGGCTGCTCCAATCTAATATTTTGATATTGAAATCCCTTAAAACACTAATGGACAGTTCCAAATTCAAGGCAGGACTAGACCATTACATAAATTCAGGGGGCTTATAGCTAAATTTTTAATAGATTGGTCCTTATTCTTCTGATTGATACTGATCAGATTGTTTCATCCTGTCCGGTGCATCCATTGAACCGATAGGTGGTACGACTTGATTTTTGCTGAGGTTCTTATGAATATTCACTTCATCTTTAAATGCGAGCAGACCTAACTGAGCATGTGATGCCTCCGTTAATGCCTTAGATCGTATACAGCTCCGGTACTGCTCCGAATTTAGATTAGGATCACAGGTTTTCTCGTGCCACAGGTGAAATAATCCCGGATCCGTGGCGCGTATCACCAAATAGTCTGTTCTCACATATTTCTGATATAAAAACACATCTTCCCCACCCCACCCTGAGATATATTCATCAAAACCGTTGACTGCTTTGAAGTCAGATCTGTACTGGCATGTCATGCCGTAACCGAAGTCTCGCCAAAAACCAGTGTTCCTTGATATGACTAGCTGTTCCCGCTCCGATGGTATTGTCATGTCTTGAAGACTATACACAACATTCGGGTTATATAAACTGAACACAATTGGATAATAAACACGTTTTCGTGGCTCTGTATTGACACGGCAACGTTCTAAGAAATCTACTGTAAACACTATATCGACGTCACATAAAAACAATAGAACATCAACGCTTTTCCAACTTAATACGCCAACCTGTAAACCTCGCCCTCGGGAAAATTCTTCCTTTAAAGTCACAAGTTTCATGTGTTTATATTTATGTTCTTTAGCCGTTGAAGTCATGATATCTTTGACCGTCTTAAAACCTTCTTGCCCGAAATATACGACAGTTAAATACACGCGCCTGTCCTGATTTATAACCACTTTCACGAAGCGAGTCATGAACTGGCGAAAGGCTTCGATTCTTCCTGAGAGAGGTAAAATAAGATTGATCCATACTTGAGATGTATTTTTCTGACCAGACTCTACATTGTGAAGTAGACCAAAAGGTCTCATCAATGTCATTTTTCTATACGCATGTTTTTGAGGTTGATCTATTTCACGAAAAAATAACTCATACTGCGTCCCAGTCATGGGCTCGGTTCGGTACATACCTTCAATAAAATCCTCGATATTAAATTTCCTTTCATTTTTTGTTCTATTTTTATTCATTTCATTCACTGCATATGTCACTACATCATTTATATCTTTCCTTTTGTAGCCAATCGGTTTTTCTACAACCCGTTTTCCTAATCCAGGCTCTACTAAAAAGATTTTATTAAGCGTGAATTTTGTGAATGGAATAATTTCGTATTCAGATTTTAAAGCCACCCCATGCAATATTTCCGCCTTTTTTACTTTACTCTGAACATAATTTGAATAATTTGTATCGACACTGTCAGAGGTAGGTTTTTGCAAGTCTGAGCTATTCTTAAACTCCTGTAAAGATCGTATCATTAACGACTGGTGTGAAATTTGATTTGAGAGATTTTGAGCTTTCCTATCGGTCGTCTCTAATATATGTTCAAGCATACGAATCTTTTCTTGTAGATTCTGCACCTCCGATTTATACTTGCTATGAAGATCAATGTCGCTCGGCTGCTTGCTAGAGAATTCAATACTTCTTTCGTGCCGAAACTGTCCGTCCATGTAAATTCCGAACTTGGCCACATACAACATCGACATCATGGACAAGCTGAATAGAAGGATAAGGACACGTGGCATCTGCTGACCAACCCTGTACATCTTGTAACACTTCGATCATTCTCACCAACAGACCGTCTGCTCTCTCATCCTACAATCCTCCAACAATACTCATCTCTTCCCTGAAATCAACCAATCAAATTGTTTATTATATACAAACAACCAATCAAATTATTTATTATATACTTATTTAAAAAACACGCAGAATTAAAGGGAATTTTTGGAAATATAAGGTCAAAAAAATGAGAAAATGTATAAAATAAACAGTAAATTAAAGTTTTTTTCTATAAATTTATATGGGATATTTTTTCATTCCCCATGCTTCATACCACTGATGAAAATAAATATCGAACATAGTTCTAGAAAGAAAACTTGAGTATCACTTGTAATCCATACAAAAAACATACTTCCAACTTTTTCGGTAACAGAAACCTTTAATTTTGGATCAAATTTTCCATTCTACAAACTATACTAGACAGAATAGGTGCTAAGTCAGCGGCCTTTTAAACAGAGGAAATTCAATTTTTATTACCTTATTATTTTTATTGTCTTCAATTCTTTGCAAGGCTAAATCTTTTTAACAGAGCATAATAAAGACTTTGAAGTTTTTTATTTGAAAAGCATGCTTTCTATTATAAAAATAAACACTTGAATTTACAGACCTGACATCAAATCTTTTTTTCGTTGCTTTTTATATTGTTTCTGGTGGGCAATTATTGCAAAAAAACTAGAAATGTGTCCATAGGACACTGATGCCCCCACACGCCACTGTTCTGTCAATCTTATGACTCTAGGTCAAATATTTTTTGGACTACATGTGCCACAAGATGAAAACTAAAAATCAACAAAGGGCCATAATTCTGTTAAATTTGGTCGCAGCAAAAATTCCTTCATTTACTAACCATCTACACATTAAGGTTGTTAATCCCTGGAAGTTTAAGCAAAATCTGCCATCCGGTTTAAGAGGAGTTGCGTTCACAAAATTTCTACATAGTATATATAATGAAAAAATCAACAAAGGGCCATAATTCTGTTAAATTTGGTTAGAGCAAAAATTCCTTCCCTTACTGCCATCTACACATTAAGGTTGTTCATCCCTTGAAGTTTAAGCAAAATCTGCCATCTGGTTTAAGAGGAGTTGCATTCACAAAATTTCTAAATAGTATATAGTGAAAAAATCAACAAAGGGCCATAATTCTGTAAAATTTGGTTGCAGCAAAAATTCCTTCCTTTACTACCATCTACACCTTAAGGTTGTTCATCCCTTGAAGTTTAAGCAAAATCTGCCATCCGGTTTAAGAGGAGTTGCGTTCACAAAATTTCTACATAGTATAAAGTGAAAAAATCAACAAAGGGCCATAATTCTGTTAAATTTGGTCGCAGCAAAAATTCTTTCTTTTACTACCATCTACACATTAAGGTTGTTCATCCCTGTAAGTTTAAGCAAAATCTGCCATCCGGATTGAGAGGAGTTGCGTTCACAAAATTTCTACATAGTATCTAGTGAAAAAATCAACAAAGGGCCGTAATTCTGTTAAATTTGGTCGCAGCAAAAATTCCTTCCTTTACTACCATCTACACATTAAGGTTGTTCATCCCTGTAAGTTTAAGCAAAATCTGCCATCCGGTTTAAGAGGAGTTGCGTTCACAAGATTTCGGGACGTACCGACAGACGGACGGACTGACTGACTGACGGATTGACGGACGGACGGACAAGTGCAACGCTATATGCTCCCACATTGTGGGGGCATAAAAATCTGAATTAACTCAAGAGGGACGATTCAATATCTTACTGTATCTATTATATGTCATTATGCATTCATTTATATTCCCTTACGAGGCACATCTTCTTATAAGACGCAGCCCCAACTTTAATTATATCACATGTTTTTTTGTTAATTAATACACCCTTGTATAAGATATTAAAGTCAAATTTTTCCCGCTAGGCTGAAAATTGGCATTGATTCTGTCATGCGAAATCAGTCGAAAATTCATCAATTTATTGTCAGTGTTCTCAAAAATATTACAAATAAGTACAGAAGTCATAAATATTCTACTTTTCCGTATTAAAATTTATCCATGACAGCTATTGTACCATATGATTCCTTAAATTATTTTTTTAGTTTCTTAATATTCAATTTTACCTTGCAACATATTTAATTGTCTACACATATTCCCTTTTTAACAAATTATCAATTATGAATTCAAGTTCTTTGTTCTTTTCATATTTTTTTTTTTTTTTTTAAATCTATGTAACATTTTCAAATTTTATGTTTTTAACTGGCTTTCGGACCTCAGTGGGGCTCTTTTAAGCTGCTGTATGTCGATTTTAGCTTTATACATTTTACAATGCACTTTAATAAACTACATTCCTACCTTGCCACCGAATTTTACTGGAACACTTTATCGTTTAAATCTGTTTTCAATTTTGTCTTCTTAACTGCAATTATAAAGATTAAATTAAGATATTAGATTACTTTTAATATGACGCTGCGCTATTCTAATGTAACGCAACACAAGTAAAACAACGGAGCTACTTGAGTACTACTTGACACTGCAAAACTCGTTCAAATCATTAACCATAAACTTAAAATAATGCCGGAATAGACTTTGTCAAACTTGGCAATTAACTGAATTATGACGGCATTATTTCTGAACTGTTTCAACCATTCCCCCACTGAATTTGTATAATGAACATGCTCTGCTTTTAATCTTTAATAGCTCATTGCTAATGGAAGGGGTTTCAGTACCAAAAGTTTGAATTAAAACAGTCAACAGTATAGAGCCTGGTCATATGATCTCAGTGCATCTAAGTAGTAAAAATTACAAAAATCGACATGCATACATATTTAGCATCATTCAGTGAATTACAGTATTTGAAATTTACAATTCACCGTTTGGCAGATACTAACGTTTAAGGACATGAATGGTGACATGTCTGGGGTTTGTACTCTCAGTGCCTAAAAGGGCAGATGGACTCTCATTAATTAAGCCTAGAATTGACACACAGAATCTGGTCAGACTGTGCCTATTTCAGTGTCATGTCATAATAACCAGCTTGCATTAGCTTAAGAGTCAATCAAATTACCGTATGATGATTATATCAGTATTCTACTGGGGTATTAATATTTAATGGGCATTATTTTTTACTTTGTGATTGAATTGTTCAGCTTCCATTTTTGGAACTATATATTCATTATCAACTTTTGGTATATCAAGATGAAAATTTGAAATTGGTCAGCCAAATTTTTAGAGCCTTAAACCAGACTCCTAGACTGGCCTGGCTCAACACTGGTGACATTTTAAGACTAATCACTTTCAGGGGTGGCAGGGAAAGAGTTAATCAGGACCTTTACTTTACTGAAATGATGGCAATATTGGATAGTTCAGAAAGCTGACACATATAAGTGATTCATATTACAATATAAAAGTTTGTTTCACAATCGGGTTCAAATTTCAATTTTCATTTCAATGTCATAATTACGAGGTAAGGAGTTCAGATGCATTATGGTATATTTTTTCACCCTTGCTTCTGCATGGTCTTCCATATTCATAATATAAGAAAAATGATTGACAGCATTAAAATAGTAAAATTATAATATTTCAAGTATGTTAAAAAAATGTTTGATTTGTATTGTATATGTAAATGTATATATTCAGGAAATAAATATGTTTAAACTAAAAAAGCATTGAACATTATAAATGGGCTAGAACCAGCGATATACTAAGATTCCATTGCCTTAAGCCAGTGCATAAAGGATACATTTTGTGTGAATTTAAGTATAATCTTTTGCCTGTTACCACTTAACTTTTGTATTAAAATTTTCTTAAATTCTACAATGTCTGAGAAATAAATCATATTAGCACAGTTTCTATGCTTGCAAATTGGTAAAAACACATCTACAGAAATTAATAGTTTTGAACACTATGTTCCAATGAAAACAGTCTGTGGCAACTGATATCAATTAATTCATATAGAAAATAATCATTCTGTCGACAAGAATTATCAAAAGTAATTTCCGGTTTTCAAACATTTTTTTTACCTATTAAAGAAAAAATTTCATATCTATCAAAGGACCTAAGTGTACTGATGAAAAAGCAAAAAAAAATTTATACACTTCATCTTTACAAAATTAATTTATCAAAACAAAACATTAAGAAAGATATCAGTGATTTCAGCTTTATAGAAAGCTAGGTTAATGACCTCAATTATCGTGACTGATAATTATAATTGAAAGATAATTACCTAATTTACATATGATAATCTCTTTCTCATATTCCAATTTTACAGTTAATCAACACTGCCATACAAAAACCATTTAAAAACAACAAAGCATCCCTGTTTTCTATATATTATAACAAAAACTTTTGTACATATATTGTATATTTAGTCCCAGCACTACAAACTGAAAGTAATTCATATTTAATTAGCTTAAGCCCTTTAAGAGGTTTAACTTTCACCAAATGTTCTTTCATGAATAGTGATAAAAATAAATCCGCACGATTTTATTTTTTCGATACACCAGCAACACTGGGTTGTCAGACAAATAACTTTTAACATAAATATTTGAAGTTCGATGTACACATTTGACTTAATTTACCAGATTAAAATCACTTCCAGCAATACTTATCAATACAGTATTATAAATTTGTAATCAATTCAATGAAAGTGTACATTATGCATTTGAAAAAGTAGTTCTTTCGGTGTTAATGAAAGGGAAAAAAAATTAACATTACATGATAAAGTGTTATAAAGGGACTAAATTAATCTGCTTCAAAGATTCATTAAAAAAAAAAGAATCTGTCTTTTAAGTATACATCAATAATAAAATAAAATTTTCAATTTTCGAAACTCAATTTAAAGAGAAAAAAAAACAAAAAAACAATGTCCATTTCATTACTTTCTTCTTTTTGTAGTTAACTTAATAATAATATAAATAATTATGATTTTGTCACAAAAGAAAAATAACAAGAAGTCTAAACAGTATCAATTTAAAGTAAACTTTAAAATATACTCATTTAAACTTAAAGGCTCAAACTTAAAGGCTCATTATGCCTCAGATATGCTATAATTTTTATTTCTCAAAAACTTTTTTATTCTTGCATCTTGAGAAGGTTTCAGAAGAAATACTTTGCCACAAAGATAAACCATCATTTTGCTTTCTTTGTTCTTTTGGCAATTGGTTTAATTATAATGAATTAGTATTTTGTATGGAAGTTAAAATACTACTTTGTTTAAATTTTGCACAATTTTCTTCAGTTGTTAATTATCTCACATGATGTTAATTCATTATTTAAACAATATTAAACACATGTTCAACATTTCAAAACAATTACAAAAATATGAATTTCTGATGCATATCTTTTTTTAAATTTACAACTGAAACAAATCTTTTTTTTCCCACAACAATTTATAATAACTTTTATGTTGAATTTATGGTTACATATACAAAATTAATTTGTCATTTTCTGAATAGTTAAAACTTTATAATTCTATTTATCATCAGTGTTATTATTTATGTCAATTTCTTATTGGACACAGCAATTATATTTAATAAACAGATTTAAAAATAAAAAACTACATTATCAAAACAATATACTTTTATATACTCACACTGCCAATAACACTTAAATCCCAATGCTTCAAAACAGATAAATTAATTCACATTTCAAGGTAGTATAATATAATACCAGAAGATATCCACTCCTGAAAAAATCCAGATATCATTAATAATGCCTGGAGATTTAACACTGGTAAAAGTCAAATGATAAAAGAAATAATCCAACAACCCTGTCCTTAAATTAACAATAAAATTTAATAAAGCCCGACCAGGAATAAATAACTACTGCTTTAATCTTATAAAACACTTGTTCCATACACTCTTTATTTAAAATAGCTTACTGGGGATAAAAAGTTTAAGCCTAATTTCTTAAACTTAATTTAGCACATAGATCTGTTTGGCTCGGTATCACAAACAAAATGATGGTATAGCGTAAGTTATTAAAAGTCAACGAATGTCAAAAGTTAACATAGTTATGTCATTCCGATTTGCTTTGGTCTTCACTAAAATTTACATTTCTACACTCCAGTAAAACCATAAAACTTTCACTCGCAATTTGGACAGTAATAAAGTACTATACATTAAGTTAAAAGTTACAAAAATACTGACTTGTTGACAGGTCATACTTACTACATAATTAATTGTCAATATGCAACGATGCTTGTTAATTATTGTTGTTGTTGGGTTTAAGACAAAGGTCTTATACCAACATTCAAGGAAGATGATAGGCCCTCCATTCATTATTTCAGGCAGAGAAGAACCACCAACAAACTCATGCTGTAAAGCATCCCTAATTGAAGACGAAATGACTGGCAAAAGCAACATTATACCCAGTATAGGTTAAAAAAATCTTTTACCAAAATTCTTGAATACAATTGCAGAAACACTAGTGTACTTGTCTAATGTATTAAAAATTTAAGTTAAAAGATCTTTTTAAATGCCAATTTATTTTATTTTTCAGATACACCAATGTTTTCTAATATCCTCAGCACCATTTAAAAAGGAGAGCTGTCAGAAGGGCAGAATGCTGCACTATTTATGGTAACTGACAGTAAAACATGGGTCATAAGGAATTCACAGTTTACAAAGGGGAGTAATTCAGCTTAAAAGCCACAATACAGTTATCACTCATTACCCAAAAAAATTTCATGAAATATTAAATAAATATGTTCAGTGGTTGTGCTCAATGGTTGTAGACATCTAGAGTGCCTGTTTAATTTAAAACTATTATCCAAGAACTTTCTATATGTTCAGAAAGGGCTACTATAATTCGGTCACAATCTATGCTAGAGTTATTGTTCCTGAATAATAACCGACAATAATGCTACTGTGAATAATTTCATTTGCAAAAAAGTCAAACCTTAAAGTGTATATTCACCAGCGTGATCGAGCATGGATCCATCTGTTCTATAAACAGCAAAGCTAAATGATCTATTTTGACTTTTAAACTCCTTACTTATGAAATGTGTTATATTTAGGTATATCTTACCAAAGGCCCGTTTATTTTAAGGCTTTTATATTGTAAACTTAAAACTTAGATATATATTCATGACTAATGACTTAAGCTTAAAACTGACCATTTAAGATAATTCTTTCGCAAATAACTGCACAATATTTATCTATCATATTTGTATATCTGTGACCATATAGGTTTATGTCAATAGTTTTACGATCTTCGATCTCAATGCGATCTTAATGCGTTTCATCTGTTTGTACATTATACAGTGTAATGTTTCACATCGGCAGAATAAGAATACATGATTAGTATCGCAGTTCTTTGTCTCTTCACACATCTTTGCTAATTAATGTTCATTTATCTGCAGGGTTTGGTCACAATCAAAATAGTGGTAACAATTGGATGGTAAAAGGTACGAGATAATGGACCGATCACATGAAATTTAAGTCCTTGGGCAAGTTGAATCCTTGCGAGTGCTAACAATAATAAATAATCTTGACTTTTCTTTGTCACCAAATTAGAGTTAGGATGGCCTGTACATATATATATTACAAAAATCTTGTAAAATTACAAATATCTTCAATACGTTCCACGCTGAAATCTCTGAAACTGCTTAACCTTATCATGCTGAATCTTTCAATCTTGACAACACCGTTCATGTTCATCATTTTTAGGGAAAATAGCAAATGACCAAATCTGATGCATGAATATACGAGTTGACTGGTCTGCACTGGTGACATGGATGAAATCAGTTGATGTTAGCAGTCTAAGTGCTAAGAGAGTGATCAAAATTCAAAGCCCAGGGCAAGTCCATGATATAAGTTTAGCAGTGTAATGATTAATTGCTATATTCAAAAGAAGTACCTAAAGTTAGGACAATATATGTGACTATTCAAGTCGGAATAAAATGTGTTCAAACCTTATTTATATAATTTTCCCTGAGGTTTCACAGCAATGCCACAGGAGTCTTCACCTGAAAAGAGAAGAACAACAAAATGATATGGAAGTGAAATGACAGGAGCTGAAATACAATAAGGTCATGAGGATCATCATAGTATAGAAATGTGCAAATGGCCACCTAGTTGTTACTGCCGATAAAATTATTCCAACGGTCCCAGGTCAGACTGCATATTTTTCCTCGCCCTGGACATTTTGATACTAAAATCCCTAAAACAAGCACTGGACAATTCTAAATTCAAAGAATGGCAAACTAAATAATACAAAGCCATTGAATAAATTCAGCAGTGGTTTAAGATTATTCTGTTTCAAGCCTGCATAAAATTAACTGAATTGTTTTACGCTTTACATTACTGTTAACACATTAAACAATTTTGTCTGAAAACTAGAGTCAGAGGGCAAATATCACACTGTAGAACAGTTACAGTTGAAATGTAAAACTATGGTCCATAGCATGTCTTTCATTTAAAACATTTGGGTGCTTGTTGAACAATTTTTTTTATTTGATTTACGACCGACCAACACAAGGGGACTTCAGTGAAGAGACTTTTCTATTTAGGGAGAGGTGTGTAACAATTGTACTTAAATTCCTATTTCCATATCACCAAACTCCTAGTATGTTTACTCAACCAACTTAAGATGCCATTATTTAAACATAAAGAAACACTTTCCCATTATGTACAGAAAAAAACCGTTTTAATCGAGAATATTAGAGCAAACAACTGCAGCATGGAGTATGCATTTTAAAATGATTTACATGAGATGTAAATTGATAAATGAGCTGTTGTATATGAATAATGTTCTGTTTATTATTTGTTCTTTATCATCATATACAAACAAGAACTCGAAATAAGTACCATAACTCTCACAATAAAAGTACCTGAATGCATGTAAATTGTACATAAATCTGTGAAAAAATTAATAAAATACAGTACTTTTTTAATACAAGTATTTCAATCCAGGCACCATGAATATTCAAACCCGGAAGCAATAAAGATAATTAGAATGAATTATATTTTATGGTAAACAAACTAAAAATTAAAAAGTTTAATATACTGAATTTATTTTAATTTGATTGTGTAGGAGGCTAGAAGCTTTTCGACACAATTGCTCCAAGACGTTCCTGGAACAAACCAGTACTGAGCAATGAGTGTAAAGTTTCTTTCCCAAGAAAAGAATGGCTCGCCACCTGACGGCATTTGAACCCACATGGCTAGAGGTTCATAAATTAAAAGTCTGACACAATAACAACTCAGCAAATTTCTGGCACTTTTAAAACGAATTTTTAACTATAACCAAAACTTCTTAGCACTTAAAACTACATACATGTAAACCATTACATTTTTAGTCATGAAATTAAGGAAAAATCAAGTAATTCATCAAAAACCAAAGTGAAATGTTTTTGGACAAAAAGCCATGTGATTAGGAAGGGGTATGTCAATTTAACATGTTTATATTACATTTATCATTCAATAGAAA